ATATTATTGTGCATTCGATCGTTTGGTTTTCGTCATCTTGTTTTTGGTTTTTAAAGTCCCCCRCGTGGAGTACCGAAACGAAGAAAATATTGAGAAAAAAGGGATGTAGAAGATAGGTAAAAAAATCGATAGTAGAATGGATCGGTGCTATATAAAGTATAGACGCGTTTTTACATCCACAGCTGTGTATTTATACACTGGAAACTATATTGGCCGAACAAAACTAGGTCCGCTTGTATAAAATAATATATMTAYGGRCTTCGGAAATTATATTATATATCAGTATATCACCCTCTGTGGGTGATGCCCCGGCCCAATAATGCTTATTATAGTAATATTATACAGCCAGACTCGACGATGCGTCGTCGTCGTGATWATTATTTTTCTGTGTGGCGACCTAGAGCGCGCGGGGACCACGAAGACTCTTCTTATATAGCTTACAGTCGTATATGAGCACGCTTTATATATATATATATATATGTGCTGCACCACCGGCGTGGCTGGTCCACTGGATAATAATAACAAAAACAAGACGACAGGTAGACGTATATWCATCTATGTATATGCACATAATATATACATTATATACGTATTATAGCGGTTCAAGTGTGCAACCACCACACCCATAATGATTGTACGCTGCTGCCGCCGTTGAGTCGTTCTCGGTAAACATATTTTCTCCCTTCTTCAATATAAAACCCCCTTATTATTATTACTTCATTCAAATATCGCCGCCACTGTCGTCATCGTCGTTTTCGACAAAAACCTAACAATATGTACATTAATATGACCGAGCACATTCCAAAAAGTCCTACTCCTCGTCCACTTCCTCCACCTTTCTCGAGGCTACTCTCTTCATCCACTGCTGCTGTATTTGTATATAGCTATAACCTATAAATACCTATCTATACCTATTTAAAATCATTTTCAGCACTATCGCGGTGGCAAACCTCTGCAGTTATTGTTGTTTGTACGACATCAAACATATAATAATATACCGGTGATATATATATATATCAGAGTGGTCACGAAGGTTAAAGGGAAATAATATTCTACATAAATATTTGGTAAATGTATATTGAGAAGTAAAATCTACAAGATATTTTCAATCGCAATAATTCCGTTTTTTCTGGAATTTTATTGTGAGGAAATTTAGTACACCTCTATTTATGCACTCCCTTAATATCCGAATCTATCGTTTTTGGCGAACTGGCTCCTTAAAATATCATATTTACTTCGAGATCCCTGTATAATGTTTGAGGGAGATAGATAGATATAAAGAGAGAGAGAGAGAGAGAGAGAGAGAGAGAGAGAGAGAGAGAGAGAGAGAGAAAGAGAAAGAGTGAATGAGAAAAAAATTGATAGGCTGAACCATGTTGAATCGATTACCATCGGTGTGTCGTTATATATAATATATATCCACTAGCAATGCTGCAGGATGAGACGATCGCCGCCGGCCTGACTGACAACACTATTAAAAAAAAAGGGTTGTATTCTACATATTATTATAGTGTATATACTGTGAAGAGAAGTCGACCTTGAATGGGTGTCTTTAGTCGTCAATCGAAAACGGGCCGGATCGAGATGAATGGAACGGGTGGKTTAGTGCGCATGCGCTAGTCACGTTGCTCATTATATTAAACGCGTCTAATATTATAAATAAGGTAAGACGTTGCCGTAGGTCTTGAGCTGTTGCAGGAGATCCCTCGTCCAAACGCCGGACGACACTCGACGACACCCCAGGGGCGCCAGCGACAGCGGTCGTGGTATATTTTTTTGATATAACATTATATTATATGCGTTTGCTGAGGACAAAAGCGAAGGTCTTTGAACATAACATAATACCTATGTAATAGCTGCAGCGTATCCGCATCGATTTTGTCACACAAAAGTCGTCACCTGTCCCTGTTGCGGTGTATCCATATGGGTAGGGGTAAATCATCGTATTCCCGTTTTATAAATATGCGCGTGTCTAATAAATTTATAATAATGTTATGCATATATTGCCATGAAAATCGATGTCGATGAGACTCTCTCTCTCTCTCTCTCTCCGCCTCGTCCATTATTCCATTATAAGATTCCGAATGTACTTATAATCTATTATTATGTGTGTGTGTGTGGAGGCGTAGCCTGTCGATCATCGAATGACGCCGCATGCAGGCAGTGTGCGTTGTACGCGCCGCGTATACTTATCATTTATTAATCGGCTCCTGAAGTCCTACACGGCGCGTCCGGCGCGTGAATTATAATGTAAATCGCGTTTAATAATAATAATAATAATAACACGTATATGGGTATACATAATATATTATAATAGCCGCAGCAGCGGTGTGCAGATTGTTGCGCGCTATATACATAAGAGCGCGTGGACAGCCACACRTTAACGAGCGACGCGCGGACGCACCCGAACGTGTGCGACTTGGATTCCTTTTATTGTCTTTTATTATCAATGAGCCCATACACATTAAATATATCTACGTATTATAAAATACGCTATTATTTTTCTCTGCCGTTGGTTTTATAACGCTTGCCGAGGCGGCAGAAGAAACGAGAATACTACTTATATATATATATATATATATATATATATATATGTATAATAATGTATGTGCTCGCGAGTACCGAATAATAACAATAATATTATAATTTAATATGCGCGTTGTTTTTTCATTTCTCGTCAATCGTGTTCGTGTGATGATAATATGCGGGACGACGGAAACGGTGTAGGCACACATACACACACGCGCGATATAATGTATATTAGAGGTATACATACATCATATTTTATACGAGATAATTTTAATAGTAGTAAGTAATAGAATATATGTATAGAGAGAGAAGATCGGTTGGCCGCCGGTTGTAGATATATATCATATACATAATATATAATACGTCTGTATACAAAATCGAACGGCCCCGTGGTGTTTACACGGCGGTGGCGGTGACTAGCTATTAAAGGGAAAAAAAATCTTATAGGCGTCGGACAATGTTATCTAAAATATACATCTTTACATTTGGCTCGGGGGCCAGGTTTCTTCTTCTCCCTTTTTTTCTTCTTCTATAATTTCGATCTATCACTTATAGATCTTTCGTAATAGAACATTATTACGCGGTTTGTGATCAATCGTCGATGGGTTCCAATAATAATAATAGTTAACTCCTGCTCCTCCTATATACTCCTCCCCCTTCATCCACCATCACAGACTCTTCACCACAACCGCGACGTTCATTAGCGAGGAATGCCAAAATATTACGAGAGTTTTTGGAAACGATTTTCGAAATCAATTGTGTTTATCTTTTGTGTACACAGTTCCCTACATATATTACATGTATAAACCTGCATAATAATAATATACAAACGCGATGATTTTGTTTATCAACCAATAAAAATTGAAACTCTCAACTATAGATATATTATATATTATGATATTTTTTTTCAAACCGTAAAATAAGGGGTAACCCCTTGTACAATATAAAATATATATTGAATCAGTGATTTAACGAACCTTTTATTTTTAATGACCCCAATTTATTTAGTGATCGCCTTGGCCGTCTACTGATTTAGTAATTTATGTGCCTGAATGTACGTTTTTCTGTACACTCAGTTTTCTTCGAAACGGCATAAATTAAACTATAACATAATAACGAACACAAAGCCCACGATATATTATTTAGATAAACAATGTGTGTAGTTCGACGTTGAAGAATATCACACTAAATAACATTTATTAATTATATATTTTTTTTTTCGTATGTAACGTATGATTACAATCGTTTTCGTATATGAATGAAATTATTGTTTTCACCGTGGTGGTGTCCATTGTCCGAACAAGAACTAAAATATGTATAGTAATATCATCACGTCACACGTTGATCATAATAATAATCATTATTGTAGCTGGTGAAAAAAAGAAACCCGTCAAAAATGTAGGCACTTGAAAGCACTTAAATTGTCTATACGGAACGCCGTGCAAGTATAATATAGTAGGTATACCCGGCGCACTGCGTCTGTATGTTATATCATATAATATTATAATATTATCTTCGCGGGAAACGTGTAACACAAAAGAACCACACAACGAAACCTCCTCCGCGACGGTCATCGTAACATTGTATTTCAAAACGTAATTTTATTTATTATTTCCTGGTTCGGTCTTGAATCGAATTCGTTGTCCCGAGTCCCGACTCTCGAGAAGAACATACATATAATATACACTCACGCGGACTGCATCCGTCGGTAGGTAAGTGATGTCGGGTAGGTCTCGAGAGGGTCTCTTCTCGCGTATATATTTTATTGTACATCATTTCACACGGAGCACGCCAACCGGTGTTAGAGGGTGGTAGTGATTTTTGAATTCTCGGTATACATTTGAATAGAAGGGACGTAAAAAATGTGAGAAAATCGTTTAACATTATTTTATTTATGCGACGTTATACAAGTGTTCGGTTTGAAACAAATTTGACTTTTGTTACGTCGATATTCCATCCCTCCTCCCTATACCACCGTCATCCGCGATATTGCATGGTTATCACTTATCTGTACCGYGAGTGTTGTTTTTGTTGTGTTACAGACGACCGTAATTTTCTYTCTTACCACGGACGGTAATGAGTTTAATGTACATTAATWATAATTGGGCTTAAAGAAAAAAAAAAATGTTATTAAACGATGTGTGATTTATGTTAAACCCGGCGGGGTGTGCTGTAGTACAGTGTAGTCGAATGAACGTATATATTATTATTATAAACGTTTCCCTGCATACCACCGACGCCACTGGTTGGCAACCGCCTGTTGCTGCAGCGTTAACGACGACCGCGCGTGATGACGATGGGAACTCTGTAGGTCGTAATTCGTTGTAGTCGTCAAATGTCTGGTTAATTGATTATTATTACTACTACTATTATTATTATAATAATTATTAATAATATAAATAACTATGTGTGTTTGTATGTATATAAACATTGTATACGAGCTATATATAAGACCGTCGTTTGGTTTACAGATGTGGGAGCTGCTCCTGTTGAGCATCCTGAAATGGGACGTGTCCGCGATCACAGCTCATGACTTCCTATGGTATATACTTAAAAGACTGAACATGGACACGGCCAAGCCGTTCGTGGACATTGTTATCAAACACTGCGGCACATTCATCGGCATGTGCGCCAGAGGTAAGTTCAATCAATAATATACTTATTTAAAAAAATTTCTGAATATTGTATAGGTACGTGGTTCGTCACGATATTATATCGTTATTCATATTCTGTGCACAGTGGTGTACCCGGGATTTCTAAAAGGGGATGAGAGTATAATAAAATATATAACATAACAAATTTGTCGTTATATGCTTTGTGTATTATTCATTATATAGGGTAACCTAATTAATGACAATATTTATAACGTTGCAATTTAAAACTAATTTCCACAAATCATTTTAAATCATGATTTTCAAGATCATTCAATTGATTTGTCATCTTGATTCTAAATCCAGTCCTGTAATTATTATTGAAATCTTAAGGTTAAAAAATCGTCAAGTATAGGTAACTGATTTTATTTATTCATACATAATAATAGATGTCTATAGGTAATAATTAAAAATAAAATATTATGTAGCTTTTGTGAAAGTTCAAATACTTGACATAGTCATACTGTCATACATATTAATCTATGTAATGCATCTAATTTCGTGTTTGAGAATTTATGTTTCTTATTTTTTGACTTTTGTTGTAACTTTATTCGTATCTGTTTTTTCTATTTTTGTGGACACGTTAAGCATATTATAGTCGATTTTTTAGGGATTTGCATATTAGGTTGTAACAATTTGGTTTTGTGTGAGAAGTGAGAACTTACATAATCTGGGCCACATAAGTGTACTGCAGAGTATCCATAATATGCTGGCTGTATTGTTTATCTTCTCCCCAACCTGTGTGTCCGTGATATATTTTGTTGGATTGCGATTTTTTTATTTTTTTGTTACCTTAATGAGACTAACGTTTCAAGTGAATTATAAATATTTAGAAGGAAATAATAATTATATTATGTTTATTTATACAAAGGCACGGACGAGTATTATACATATGTATGTATAATTATATATACGTTTATATTCGATTATCTCGACCTTATTTGGTTTCTCGTATTGCGTCATGATGCGGAGGGACCGGTTTACGATGAACGGTGGTAGTTTAAACCGTGCTTGCATTCTATTATCTCTGATGAATCTCGGATTTGAGTGTGTGGTGTGTATGTGTGTATAATGAGAGTCGAATAAAAACGTAGACGCGTAACTCTGCAAAAGGGTTTCGGATTTGTAACCAAGGATTTCCTTGACGATAAACAACTAATGTAAATTCAAATATTGTATAAGCGTGTGACGACTGCCGCTCCACGCCACGATAAGTATAGTAACATGGTAATTAATAAATAAAACGACAAAATCGAAGACCTTCTTCGTTGCTGCATATTATAATTATATATGCACCAAAATTTAACAAAGAATAATTATAATATTTTTACCACAAAGTCAATGGAGCGGTGGTCGTACAAAGGGAATCGTGGGACGGCGTGTGAACGTGTCGAGTTGTGTTTCGTCGCTTTCGAGATCCATCCCCCGCCGTAAGCTAGTCGGCATATAGTTATATTACTAGGTTTTTATTATTAATTATTTACGTGTTTAATAATAAGTTATTATTAATAACTGTAAACGCTGCTCTAACTGCATAATAATAATATAACTAACGATATCATAATAGATATCAGAGCATATAATATATACCTACGATAAACACTATTTTTCTCTTCAATTTTTTCGATGCCGCGCACATTTACGATGATTAAAATATCTATATATAATATAATATATATTCATGCAAAGCCGACATACATTATCATACTACGATTTGAGCGTGCGAACCAAGTGTTCGGCCTTTTGTCTTTTGGCGTATTATAATATTAGGTATATTATTATCATCAGACAACGATGATGTCCGCGTCGTCCGGTG